TCAAAAATGGCATTTTCAGACATCAAGTCAAAAGAACTTTCAACAGAGAGTTATATAAATGCCATCAAGCAACCCATAAGTCCCTCACCTCAAGTATAGAAAGGGCTCAAATGTAGAGAAAACTGCCAACGTCTTGTGATTCCTTCCCTTTTTTTAAGCAGGAAAGGTTGGAGGACATTGTTTACCTCTAACATGGCACTTAGTTAACAGGGTATTTATGAGTTCCCAAAGCGAACTTGACATGTGTGCCTTCAATTTGGGAGTTGCAAGAAATCACTAGCCAGTGGCTTGGGATTGGTCCATGAGGTGGCTGAGTGGAGTGGTTCTATATCCCCAGAATAAATTAAAGCAATAGATGCTGGAGGTTCAACCCTAGACCATGTGGGCCGCAGGTGGGAGTGAGTCAGTGTGCTGAGTCATGTTAGGGCCCAGTCCACGAGGCTACCTAAAAGAGTGAACTGGCTACAGTAGTTTACAGTGAAGCTAAAATCTACCCCTAGAGTCCTAGCAATGACAAATAACAACAACAACAACAATAATAATAATAATTATAAGCCACAGGTAAAAGCATCACTGACTTCAAGAAATAGTAGATGATAGGTTCCTGCTGATGGAGACAGCGGTGGATCTTAGGAATTCACATAAGCATGTGTTCTCATGCCTGTTGACAATTTCATGTCTTCTTTTAAAAAACAAATGCCTATTTGACTTAATGTCCTTGACCATTTTTTAACTGTATAACTTGGGGTTTTGCTACTGGGTTTCATGACTCCTTATCCCTTTATTGTACATATGGTTTGCAAATATTTTCTCCCATTTTATAAGTGGTCTTTTCATTTGGTTGCTTTTCATTTAGTTTCTCTTCATTTAGTTTCATTTAGTTACTTTTCATTTAGTTACTTTCAGCCCTCAGAATCTTTTAGTTTGCTGTAGTACACTTGTTTGTTTTTGCCTTTGTTGCCCATGCTTTTGGTATCATATCCAAAAAGTCATACTGAAATCAGTGTCATGGGGCTTTTTTACCTTATGCTTTCTGCTAGTAGTTTTACAGTTTCAGGTCTTATATTTAAGTATTCAACCCATTTATAGTTACTGTTTTAAAATAGTGTATAACAAGAATCCAACTTCGTTCATTTACATATGGATATCCAGTTTTTCTAATACCATTTACTAAAGAGATTTTCCTCATTGAATATTCTTGGAACCTTTGTCAAAAATTAGTTGACTATATATATGTGATTTATTTCTTGCATCTCTATTTTATTGAACTGTTTATGTGTTTGTTTGTAATGCCAGTGTCATATTGTTTGGATTACTATAGCTTTGTAATATAATTGGAAGTCAGGAATTATTATGCTTCTGTTTTTGTTTTGTTCTTGTTCTCAAGATTCTTTTGGCTGTACAAGGATGGTAAAGAGTACAGCCAGTATGGGGTTTACTAAAAAAATTAAAAATAAAACAACCATATAATCCTACAGTTTCATTTCTGCAAATATATCTAGAAGAAATGAAATCAGAACCAAGATACAGAAACAACCTATGTCCATCTGTCTATGAATGGAGTGATATGTATTTACAATCGAATACTATTTGGCCATGAAAAAAGAAGCCCTAGCATTGTAGCAACATGGATGAACCTGGAGGGAGTTACACTAAGTGAAAGAAACCAGACACAGATGTGGTTTTACATTTATGAAATCTAAAAAGTTCACACTCATGGAACTGAGAGTAGAACAGAGATTTCCAGGGGACAAGGGGCTAAGAAAATAGATAGATGCTAATCAAAGGGTACACATTTCAGTTACGAAATGATCAAGTTCTGGGATTCTAATTTATATCAGGTGTGGTGAGTGTGTATTAATCTGATTCAATAATCATTATACAATGTATAAATGTATGCAAATATATATGTCTAATAGTCATGTGCACCTTGAATATATGCAATCACTATTTGTCAGTCAATTACTTTAAAATGAAAGTTCACCAAAACCTCAGTTGCCCATGAACTAGCACAAACAATCAACAAGTGGGATCTCTTTTTACTAAAAATCTTCTGCACAGCAAGAGAAACCACCAGCAGTGTGAAGAGAAAATCCACAATGTGGGAAAAAATTTTCACCAGCAGTCCCTCAGACAAAGGTCTACTATCTTGAATCCATAAAGAACTTATAAAAATCAGACCTCCCAAATTTAAAGATCCAATGCAAAAATGGGCATCTGAAATGAACAGACATTTGTCAGACAAAGAAGTAGACATGGCAAATAAACATATGAAAAAATGTTCAACATCATTGGTCATTCGAGAGATGCAAATGAAAACAATGCTGAGATTCCACTTCACTCCAGAAAGAATGGCTGCTATCATGAAATTAACCAATAACAAATTCTGGCAGGGCTGTGGGGAAGGAGGAACACTGATCCACTGCTGGTGGGAGTGTAGATTGGTGCAACCACTGTGGAAATCAGTATGGAGATACCTCAAAGAACTAGGACTGGAAGTCCCATTTGACCCAGCTATTCCTCTGCTGAGTATCTTCCCCAAAGAATTAAAAGAATCATACCACAGTGATGTATGTGCACTCATGTTCATAGCAGCATAGTTTGTAATAGTTAAAACTTGGAAACAGCCCAAATGCCCATCAACTGGAGACTGGATCAAGAAAATGTGGTTTTTTAATGAAATGGAATACTACTCAGCCATCAAAAATGAGAAATTAGAGACATTTATTGCTAAATGGATGCACATTGAGATGATACTCTTAGTGAAATAAACAGGACACATATGTGTAAATACCAAATAGTTTCTCTAGTGTGAGAAACTGAAAGTGTAAATAAGGACTAAAAGGTATAATAGATAATATGAAATAGGAAGAAAAGGGGCAAAGGGGAAGGGGAAGTGGGAGGGGTAGGGGAAAGGAAAGAGGGGAATGGAATTAATATGAGAAAATAAAAAAATGGAAATAAAGTTTTTGTAAATAGAGAGGGATGGAGGAGTTGAAGGGAGGGCAGGGGAAGGGGGAAAAATAAGAACCAAGAGAATATGTAAAGGTTCATATCTCCAATGATGAATGTCATTATGTTGTACACCTAAAATGTACCAATTAAAGGATACACGAAAAAAATAAAATAAAATGAAAGTTCACATACTTTACAAGAGGAACGGGTCAACATTGAACATCTGCAGGCCCAGAGAATAAGAGGTACTGATTTTATGGCTTATGTCTAGATGTCCACCAAAGCCTCATGCAGTTGTAGATGGGGCTTTTTTCGGAAGTAGCTGAATTTAGAGTGTGTGATTGATTCATGGTGCAATGCTAGGATCAAGGGCAGTAGGATTAAGGTGTGAGTGCTACCAGCCCTAAGTAGTCTGGATAAGATAAAAGGGGCAGGAAGGCTCTGTTGAGGGCCTTTGCTTGCTTGCTTTTGCTGTTTTCTGGCTGCTATGAACTGCTTCTCTTCTGCCTTGGAGCCAAGCAATTATGGACTAAAACCTCTACAAACTGTGGTCCAAATAAACCTTTCCCCTTTTAACGGTAGATATCGGGTATTTTGTGCCAGGGATGAGAAAAGTAAATAAGACAACTGAAAAACTTGAAAATAAGAAACTGTTTCTCTTATCTCTTTGTGTTAGTTTCTTATGATGGCCAGAAATAGTTACACAAACTGGGTAGTTTATAACAACAAATTATTTTTTCACAGTCCTAGAGACTAGAAGTCCAAACTGAGGTGGCAGCAGGGACATGTTCTTTCTAAGGCTGTACGGGAAGGAGTCTTCTCTGCCTCTTCCAGTTTCCAGTGATTGCCTGCACCTCGGCATTGCTTGACTAATAGATGCATCACTCCAGTCTCAATGCCCTCTTTCTCATGACCCTTTCCCCTTGTGCCTCTCCCCTTTTCTTATGAAGACACTAGTCAGATTGGACTTCAGGCCCACCTTAATCCAATAAGACCTGATCCTAACTAATTATATCTGCAAAGATCTTATTTCCAAATGAGGACACATCATGAGATTCGAGATGCATATGAATTTGAGGAAATATACTCAACGCAGTGCACTACTCTACCTCCCCACCATTCAGATCCTGCAGTAATCAGAAAATACAGCTAGTGGTAGAGGAGGTAAGGAGTCACTGAGCAGAAAGAGTGATTATTTCAGTGTTGTCTCCTCCCCTTCCCTTTTTCAGCTTAATTATACCTCAGTTTCTGCACCGCTCTGCCTTTCAGCCACATTGGTCATTGCTTGGTTCCTCAGACCACCCATATTCTCACTTTCTTTGGGACTTTTCTACTTTGCAGTTCTTCTACCTGGAATACTTTTCTCATTACACCCACACATCTAAGGTAAACCAATTCTGTCAGCATTCAGACAAAATACCACTTCTTCAGGAACCAAATGCTAGTTATCAGTCATGTATGAGATCATGGTAAAGCTTGGATGATAAAACAAGCCAATAAATAAATTACAGTAATAAGAATGTAATAAATATTTGTATGTAAATATATATACATATTAATTTAAACTCAGGTATTAAAATAACTGCAAAATATGCTTTTGAGGGACATCCTGATATTTTGCCTTTCTTTTTTTATTAAAATATGTCTTTTATGTTAACATATGTTAGTGATAGTAGATGGCAATTCTTTTAATGTCCAAAATTTTCAACAGGTAATTTTATGTTATTACAATTTGAAACTGTATTGGCTTATGAAATCTAAATGTCTGGGAGTCACAGAAAATCTAATATTAAGACTTTTTTTATAAACCAACATAGGAGCAAAAACTTGGAAAACTATACCCATGGAGTAATAGAGTGACTACCTTTCAACTAACATGGCCTATTATCCTGTGTTTTTTACCCTTACTTTCAAGTTGCTAGATTACCTTTTATGCTTGTATTTACCTTTGACTCCTATACCATATTTCTTAATCCATTAACTATTTTCTTCCTCATTACAACTCAAATGGTTGCTTAATACAGCTAGTCTTTATAAGACCTTTAAATTCTTTATGTCCTTTAATATTTCACATTACCATCAACCCAACCTACTTCCTCATGTCACACCTGTTGACTGTGTTCTCGGCTTCTGTTCATAGTCATTTCATTTCAGATGGACCCTTCCTAGCACTCCACAAATCATTTGGTATGATTACAAGGTTGTCAGCCCTGTGTTCAAAATCTTCCCAGTGGCTCTTCCAAGCTTGCCTAGCCACTTCAATCTTTCATCCCAGTTCTTTACTTGCTTTATATAGCTTCAGCTGATGCCATTAATTTTTGAAATTCCCTTTTTATCTCCAACTGACTCTGTATCCCTACTTGCTTTTTGTTCTTGAGGTAACATAAAGAGGTACTCCTGAATCTCTTCAATATCCTAGAGTGCAGTGATTCCATAATGTGCTACATCAGCCAAGTTTATTCTCCATCATTCACCCCTCTTTAATTTTTCAACCATCCTGCCTGTGTTGATCATTTTCTCCTTCATTGACAGGGTCTCAATATAATGCAGTCATCCATCCATATCCATGGGCTCTGTACTTGGGATTCAACCAGCTCTGGATCAAAAATATTTGGGGAAAAGACATTTGTATTGAACAGATCCAAATTTCGTCATACTGTTTGTCCCTAAATAATATAGTATAACAACCATTTATGTGGCATTTATATTATATAAAGTATTATAAATAATATAGAGATGATTTAACATACAGAGGAGAACTGCACAGGTAGTAAGAAAATGCTACACCATTTAACATAAAGGACTTGTGCCTCCCCAGATTTTGGTATGGGTGGAGGGAGTCCTGAATTTAAACTCTTTGATTTCACCTGCATCTTTCAAAATATTACTCAATTACCATTTTATCACTGTACATTTTGTTAACCAACTAGTATTTTGCCAACCACTAGTATTAAGATTTTGTTCTCGCAAATTTTATATTTCTTATGTATCAACTCTGATCTCCTAATACAAAACTGACTTTCTCCATTCTTGTCTGTTCTTGTCTATCTCAACAGTATTTGACACCTGTGTGTTAAATGAGTCTAACAATGTTGACAATATTATTCATCATGAAACTTGTTCTTCTCTTGAATTATACAAAAAATTATATAATTTTCTTTTCCTTCCTACATTTATAAAAGCCTCTGATGTATTTTTCTTTATTTCTTGATCCTCTTCTGTCCTCTAAATATTTTCACACATACATGTGTGGTATATAAGATAAACTATTTTAAGAAGTACCATATATTATATATGTAGTACATATAAAAGTGTATGTATAAGTAAAATGTACTTTCTTTTTTTTAGTAAAATGTACTTTTGATAACTCTAACTAATAACACTTTGAAAATTATTAACAAACCTCTATTAACAAATCTCTCGTCCTGACTTACTTCTCAACTGCAAGTCCCACACATCTAGTTGGGTACTTAGTCTCAATATGCACAAAAATTAAACTACTTGTTCCTTTTCAAAATCTGAGTCCCTATATCCCATAATGCATATTACATGCATTACAATCACCATCTATTAAGTGTTCTGTATGTTTATGATAATGCTTAAGGATTTGGCTATACAAAGATAATAGATATACTTTCTCTCTTTAGCAAACAATGTCTCAAGGTCTAGTGGAAAAGACATTCTGGAGGGTGCCTATCTCAGACATAGCAGACCTTAGCAGAATTTCTGAAAGAATGATGCCTATGTGACATTATGAACAAAACATAAATCTCCAACAGAACTCCTGTTTGTGATTTCTCTGTGTGATCTCCAGCTGATGATATCTAACACTACTCAATTTTGTGGGTATGTCACACACACTTCTAGAATTTTTCAGAATTGAAATGCCTGAGACTCAACTGAGGCTCCTGTTTCACGGGGTCAACATGGACCCAAACCACTTAATTTTTCCAAAGCTGCTCACTTTGAACTTTGGCATTGATATAGAATTTCACTAACTAGTCCTCAGTTGAGAAACCCAGAATTAACTACAGAAAGAAAAAGTTCTATAGAACACGGGAAAGCATTTTCTGACCATTAAAACTTGGAAAAATTAATAGGTTGCTCTTACCTGTTCACCCCTTTTAAGATGTCTTACAAAATCTTCTCAATTGCAGGGACATTTACTGTGATATATCTCCACTCTCTTAATTACCTTTTGTTGCTGAGACAAAATACCCAACACCTACAAGTTAAAGGAGGAAAGGTTTATTTCAGCTTACAGTTTGTAGAGGTTTGTCTATAGTCATTTGGCTCTAAGGCAGGGTGGCATGGAAAAGAAGAAACAGTCTGTGGCAGGATAGGGAGCAACCTCACTTTCCTTTTAATTCATCAGGCTACAAGCCTATTGGTTGGTGCCACCCATACCCAGGGTGAGGCTTCTGTCTTTAGTAAACTCACTTAGTCACACCCAGAACTGTGCTAAACCAATTTGTGAGCTAATCCAGTACCATGCATCCTTAATTTCGGTATCTCACAGCCATGATCCTACTACTTCCCAAAAGCCTCACCCATGCACTCATGAGACTTTGGGAGACATCTAGATACAAGCCATAACATTTTGCCCCTGGATCCCAAAAGACTCATGTGAATCCCTTTATTCAAAAGACATTTAGTCCATCTCTAAGAGTTGCTAAAGTCCTAACAGTTGCAGCATTGCTGAAAATTCCAAATCCAAGGCCTTCTCTGAGATTTAAGGCAAACTCTTACCTGTGAGCCTCTGTACAAATAAAAACAAAGTTAAACATTTCCAACATAAAATACCATGAGATAAATTTTCCCATTCCAAAAGGTAGAAATGGAAGGACAGACAAAAATGGAGATGCAAATTGAAACAACACTGATTCCATTTTTCTCCAGAAAGAATAGCAATCATTAAGATATCAAAAAATTACAAATGCTGTCATGGCTGTGGTGAAAAAGGTACACTCTAACATTGTTGGTGGGAATGTAAACTGGTACAACCTTTATGTAAATCAGTATGGAGATTCCTCAAATAACAAAAATTAGAAATTCCACATAACCCAGCTATTTGCCTTCTATGTATTTTTCCCAAATAGCTTAAGATATCATACTACAGTGATACATACATACCAATGTTTGCAACAACATAATTCATAATAGCTAAATCCTGAAAGCAGCCTGTGTATCCATCAACAGAGGATTGGATGAAGAAAATGTGGTATCTATATATAATGGGATGTTACTCAGCTATAAAGAAGGAAAAATTTGAGACATTTGTGGGAAAATGGATGCACCTGGAAAATATAATGTCATGTGAAATAAATGAGACATACAAGTTTAAATACCACATAGCATCTCTCCTTTGAGTAAGGCAAAGTACAAACTAAGAGAAAAATAAAGGAAGGATAGAAGGAAACAAAGGGATAGATCTCTTGCCAATGGGAAGTGGTCCAGGCACCATGGGCGGGGTGGGGGTGGGGGGGTAGAGTGAAGATATGCCAGGTACAAGGTCCTAATACTCTCAATGAATGTGGACATTCTTTGCCATAAACATGAACTAAGATTAATAATATCCACAGGAATGGAAAGGGGGGAAGGGGAACTAGAGGAAGAGGTCGGAAGGGAAAGGGATTAGAAAAACAAGCTCTACTATATACATGTACCAACTTCCCAAGATGATTGTAAAATGCATGCACTGAAAACATGTACTAATAAAATAAAAAAATTGGAAGTTAGTAATTTAGGCCATATTTTTAAGGTTTACACTCAAATGGACAAAAATTTAACATTTTTTCTGTAATGTACTTCAGTATCAGTTTTGAATCTCCATTATACTATTTTAGCCAATTCTACTCAACAAATAATGATGCTCTTTCTCTCTATGAGGTATACAATTCTATGTCATGAACAGAAGACATCTGGTCTACACACTGGCAAATGTCCATCTTATCATCCACTGAACCACAGGGACAAGTGCGCCTCCTGGATTCTAAGTGAATCAAATGGATCCATGATATCACCATTCACAAAGAAAAAAAGATAGTGGAATAAGAGCATGACTGAGGAGGGATCAGAATGGAGACCCTTTGCAGAGGCTGTAGATAATCAAGAGATTAAATCAAGTAGGCAGATAAGACCTAGAGTTCAGAAGAAGAACGGATTTAAGAATCATCAACAAAATGCCTGAAAAAAACACATGTTCAAGAAATACTTGTGTTAAAAGAAATTACAAATGATGGGAAATGCAGATGTAGAATACTAAACTATAATGTTTGAAAATAGAAGATTAGGAAATATATGGAAAAGATTAAGGAAGTATTGTTCTTTAAATAGCCAGACAAGATGGGGAAAAAACATAGTCATTCACAGAAATCAGAAGAGCTCAAAAAGAAGGATCAATTCCCATTATCAATTGTAAGACTGAGGGCCTTACCAAATGCTCTGAGGAGCTGACTGCAGTGAAGAACACCCCGGAAGGAACACACCGGACAAGTTGGAAAGTAAAACAGACCTTAGTCTGGCCAGATGGCACTCCCAAAGCAAAGTAGCTTAGAGAGGCGACTAGCCCAGAGTCTCAGGCTCTTTTATAGAGGGTTGCAGGGGAAGTTCACAGGTGAAATTTACAGAAGAGGAACAAAGGTTAGTGGTCAGCTGACACGTACTGATGGTCAGCAGATGTTTGTAGATTGTTCTATAAACACCAGTTTTCAAACAAAGAGTTGAGTAATTTACTTTGGGACCTTATGGCTGATACAGATCTTATCTAGTGTCCTGGAGCTAACAAGCATCTTTATCTATTTACTCACATTCAATCACAGTTGGGGCTAGGGGAGTTTTATGATTATAGAGTTATGCAGTCCCACACAATAAACTCACAGAGGTCAAGTCGGACAAGAAATAGAAATTATGTGCCCTATTAAGTCACAAAGAGATCATCAAAGACTGCCTAAAAAATGTTGGTAAAAAAACAGATTTTAAAGCATACAGGAAGCAAAATAACAGGGATAATAAATGAAGACATGATTGTACAAATACTTTAAGAAAAAAAAACAAAGATAGATTTGCTATCAAAGTGAAAGTTGGAATAGTGGTTGCATTTAGAATTGAAGAGCATGATTTTTTCACTGGTTAGTTTGTTAATCTGGGACAGATCTCTGATTATCTTCATTTAATGCATCAACTATGTAAAAATCAGTTGCTAAAGGCTGCGAATTGTTTTTCTGTAGTAGTGTTCACATTTGTCCCTTTACACATCTTGTTCTCCTATTAAGACTCTCTGAAGAACTATGTCCTTCAGGCTTCCCCAAGTCATCTGGGTAGCAGTCTCACATCAACTTGTTAAAGTACTGATTTGATCTGGTTACACACGTTCATGTTTTCCCCAGTACTTCCCTACTTCCTATTGATCCGGAAAAGTTTTAGATAACTTAATAGATTGAATATTAAGGTAGTTGTAGAAGGAAAATAAGTAACATGTTCTTTTAAGATTTGCTTTTCCTGTAACTTCTTGTTTAAGGTGAGGATTATCTGACTCTAACCAGTAACTTCATTAACCTAACAAAGTTACCATGCCAGGGTGAATTTACAATGTATATATGCCTATTTTGTGTCTGTGTCTTGTAAATAGGAACTGGAGTTATATTTACACATCAAAGACCACTAGGGATGAGATAATGGCTAAAAAGGATATAAAAAGGGAAAGCCTGAACAAAGGGTATGGATACTGACCAGACTGGTTTCTGGCGTTCCCGCCCACTCAGGAGAAGAAATTTTATTATTTTATCCGAATTCTGTGTCTCTGTGTATTTCTTTCTGAGATTTCTGTAACACTATCAAATAAAGCAAGCAGTACTTTTATTTATAGTTTTTAAAGCTTCAAAAATGGCATTAGACCCAAACAGCTAAAGTTCATCTTTTACAAAAACTATCCCACTGTTCATGCCATTCCTTCAATCTGAAAAAATCTCTTAATTTTTGCCACATTTCCAAATTCTCCTCACCATCAAAGAATCCTTTTCTCAATGAGGCTGTTTACTTTGATCCTTTTGGCTAGAGGAGATCCCTTTCCCTGAGCAATCCGACAGTCATGAATTTTTACAGCTTCTACCACACTTTTCATATGCTATCTGTCTTGAAGTTATTGGTGTTTAAATTTCCTAGGAGACAATAAATAACCTCACAGAGAGAGAACATGCCTCATGCATCTCTTAGCCCCCATGGAGCTTTACTCAGTAGTTGTTTTAATAATACTAGTAAATATGCAATCTATTTGTTAATGATGTACAAGAAGCATGGAATAAACAAAAGCAGCTGCAAAGGAATGAGAGAATTATTTTACTATCTACTTAGTAACTTAGTACTCAAATACCTCTATAGTTATTATTTTGGAATTTCACAAACTGTCTTCGTAGGATTGTGAAAAATCCAATTAAAAGTAAATTAAATATGTAGTACACAAATGGTAATGATACTAATAATAGAATATCCAGCTTACCTTAAAAGCATCATGAAGATCTTCATTTTGTTTTGCTTTTTTCAGTGGTAGTATTGAATCCAGGTCCTCTACATGCTTGGCAAAGATTCTGCCACTGAGCAAAACCCTCAGTCGTCAGTTGTACATTTTGAAGTGATTCCTTGCCTAATGGGAAGTCCTAAAGGTGTGTCATAATTGTAAGACCTAGGGCCTTACCGAACGCTCCGAGGAGCTGACTGCAGCGACGAACACCCGGGAAGGAACACACTGGACAAGTTGGAAAATAAAACAGACCTTTATTAGTCTGGCCAGACGGCACTCCCAAAGCAAAATAGCTTAGAGAGGCAACTAGCTCAGAGTCCGAGGCCATTTTATAAGAGGCTGAAGGGGGTTAACATGTAGATTTAAGAAAGGGGAACAAAGGTTAGTGGTCACCTGACACATGCTGATGGCCAGCAGACATCCTGACTAATGGTCACGACTATCACCTACTGGTGGTCGGCAGATGTTTGCAGATTGTTCTAATAGATAGCGATGTTCGGAACATGAGCTCTGAACAATGAGTTAAATGACATACTTTATCTGAACAATGAGCTAAGCAACATACTTTAGGCATTATGACTGATCTTGACAGTTTAGAGCTAACAGGCACTTTTAGGCCATTAGATTTTAAATGCACTAGGGTTGGGGGCAGTGAGATTCAGAATCTTATAGTCCCACAATAATGAGTGAAGATTAATGATGGTTATGTGGAAAGTATTTGAACTAAGAAATAATTTCAATTTGATTCATGAAATAAGTTTGGAGTACATTTCATGTCCAAAATGCTTTGTGTTACCTAGTATTAGAACAGGAAGAAATCTTATGGTCAAGGTTTCCTTAAAAGTTTTGGCATCTAATGGAAGAAACAGAGAAGTTGTTACTAATTTGAGATGACTCTTCCAGTCTCAAAGGTCCAGCCTCAAACATAGCATGTCTAGGGAAGCCACCAGCATTCACAGTTATGGCCCCATGAATGTTCCAAATTGTTTGCCATCTCAGATCATCATTGTAGTCACACCTCAGAGTCCACAAACAGGAACCAGAAATCTTGCAATGGACACATCCAGAACCTCCAGCTCTGGTTTCTCAGCCTGCAAAGCTAAGGTCTCCCAGACTTGATGGCTGCAGACCAGTGCGGAGCTCAGACTGCATTTTCTCTTGCCCCACCCTGCTAGCAGTTAGGCTGCCTTCACCCCTTCCATCTTTCACTAATGCTCTTCAGCTTCAATTTCCTGTAGAACAGAGAGATATCCAGAAGAAATAATAATTGACTCAGCAGACATTACACATTACAAAATATTATAAGAAAAAACAGACTCAAAGAAATGTTATTAAAGACCTAAATGTTGTAGAAATATTAAAAATGGGATAAGGAGAAATTTGAAAGAAGTTACAGGCTCTGGGCGAAGATTTGAAAGAGGAATGAGATTTTGAGAGAGAACTGGGGTGGACTGGACAAGGAATGGAAAGCCTGGCAAAGTATATGCACAAGCAGGTTTCCAAAGCTTCAACTTGTGTCTTATGGTTGTGGAGGACCAAGAGGTCTAGCCTAGGTGTGCTGCAAGGGAAGTTATAGAAGAACAAGATCGCTGCTCAGGTTTTAGACTTGACCTTGATGGTTGGTTGTAGCTTCCCAAAAAATAATAGCACCACTTCTTTATCTTTGTTTTTGAACAATTGGAGCTGGTTAATTCATTATAACTCAGCATGAGTTGTACTTTTTTAGATACTTGTCCCAAATTTTTTAAGTTTATAACTTCTTCTGCTGTATTCTTAGAATATTAGCACATTGAGGGAAACAGCCAATGGCTGTATCATGTCTTGAGTGCATTTAATTTTTTTTTTTTTTTTTTACTACCAGGGATTGAACTCGGGTCCTTGAGCTTGTGAGGCAGGTGGCGGAACCACTGAGGTAAATCCCCCCGACCCTTTGACTTTTGAATTTTATCTGAAAAGAGACAATTATGCTTGTGTTTGTGATTAATCACTTATTTCCTAGATGAAATGATTTTTACCCTACGTTAAAGCAGAAAAGTCTTACTAGGAGTTGTGTTCAACCCAATATATATA